CTGCGATCGTTGTTGACATACTCCTACATCGCCACACCTGTAATCCGGCAAGCCATCACTGCGGGTTACTCAAGAACGCTACCTCCTGCAGTCTCTTGTGAACCGAACTCAGCAGACCACTGCCGCGGTTTGCTACAAGCGCAATGCCTTCTGTGGTCGCTGTCTACAAGTTCCCCTACCAAACACCTTCGGTTTGGCGCGTTGCCTTTCACCGCCGCTCGTCATGCATTTTGTGCCGCGCTTTGCGGACCACCACAGCAGTTTCCCACAAGCGCACCGCCTTCCGTGGTCGCTATCTATATCCTCCTAGGTCACAACGCCTTCAGTTCGGCTTGCCGCCACAGCGGGCTCCCTAAGCGCACTGCCTTCCACAGCCGTTTGTCATGCATTTTGTGCCACACTTAGTGGACCGCCGCAGCGGCTTTTCTACAGGTGCACCGCCTTCCGCGGCCGCTGTCGATAGATTCCTAAATCCCAACGCCTTCCATTCGGCGTGGCTTCCTAAGCGCACTGCCTTCCGCAGCCGATTGTCATGCATTTTTGTGCCGCACTTGTTGTTGTTGTTACATGGTCGTGGGTGCGTTCCCCGTACCTGCAAACCACCCTAGTACGAGCCGAGGGCTCAAGGGCTGCCAAATCGCCTATAAGCACCATCCTACCTCGCACTTCCAACGAGACAAGTGATGAAGTATACTTACGGCCAAAGGGAACAATAGAGTTGCGGTGAGACCATATACATTCCAGCATCCTTGCCAGGCGTTCAGGCTCCCACTTCATAGCGTCCTTCATGCCGCACTTAGCGGACCGCCGCAGCGGCTTTTCTACAAGCGCACCGCCTTCCGTGGCCGCTGTCTAAATGCTCCTAAATCAACGCCTTCAATTCGGCGTGCCGCCGCGGCGGGCTTCCTAAGCGCACTGCCTTCCGCAGCCGCGTGTCATGCATTTGAGCCGCACTTAGCGGACCGCCGCAGCAGCTTTTCTACAAGCACACCGCCTTCCGCGGCCGCTGTCTAAATGCTCCTAAATCAACGCCTTCAATTTGGCGTGCCGCCGCGGCGGGCTTCCTAAGCACACTGCCTTCCGCAGCCGCGTGTCATGCATTTGTGCCGCACTTTGCGGACCGCCGCAGCGGCTTTTCTACAAGCGCACCGCCTTCCGCGGCCGCTGTCTAAATGCTCCTAAATCAACGCCTTCAATTCGGCGTGCCGCCGCGGCGGGCTTCCTAAGCGCACTGCCTTCCGCAGCCGCGTGTCATGCATTTGAGCCGCACTTAGCGGACCGCCGCAGCAGCTTTTCTACAAGCACACCGCCTTCCGCGGCCGCTGTCTAAATGCTCCTAAATCAACGCCTTCAATTTGGCGTGCCGCCGCGGCGGGCTTCCTAAGCACACTGCCTTCCGCAGCCGCGTGTCATGCATTTGTGCCGCACTTAGCGGACCGCCGCAGCGGCTTTTCTACAAGCGCACCGCCTTCCGCGGCCGCTGTCTATGCTCCTAAATCAACACCTTCAATTCGGCGTGCCGCCGCGGCGGGCTTCCTAAGTAGCTGTGCCCGTCCGCACGTCTGAAGACTCCGGGTCCGTCCACGCGTCTTGACTTCAACTTTCGTTTGCTTGCAGATTTCTTGACGCCATCCTGTATGCCTGTTTTGCTCGTTGTTCCTTACGCCTTCGCACGTAGGGTAGCTGTTATGTTGGTAAGTATCCTGCACCGGGCTATCTGGCGACTCGCGAGGATACCAGGGTAAATCAGGCGAACTCAAGACAAAGGGCGCCGACCAAGCCCCTCGCAACAACTTGTCAACCAAGAGCTACTCCCGGCAAAACGGACTCCCAGCTAATGCCTCGCCAACTGCGGGAGGCCGAGATAAAACCACCTTTCCTACTGACCTACGGACCCCGCGAACCCAACTAGAATTCACCCCGCCCACCGACAAGCAACAGAACCCGCTGTTCAGGTGCCTCTACTCAAGGCCGAACCAACCCAACCACCCGCGCGGTGCCCGCGCGCTTCACTTACTTGCATGGATGCCGTCGGCCCGCAATGTCGATCTTCGCGTCGCCGTTGTTGTTGTCTTCTCATATATAAGAGACGGCGTCCTATTGTAGGCAAGACCAAAGATAAAGGCAATCTAACATCACTCGTCAAGCGATTTGGACCTCGACTTTCTCTAGTCTTTCTAGTCGTCTATTTTCTGTAACCTGTCTTAATAAAGCTTAGTTGGTATCTGTTGTCTGACTCTGCATTCTGTGCTGGAATGGCCAAACCCGGACTGTCTCGTCCTGGTGTGATATCCGGGGTTGGCATCGGGCCCTCCGTACTTCTGTATCTCTCGCAATTCTCGAATACAAAGTTCAATATTTCTACTTACTTAGGGTATTTATTCAATACTGGTGGTTCACTTTCCCCGTATTTAGGGTGACACATCACATATGTCTGGTCGATTTGCGTCATAGGAACTTTTGTATCCGCCTTATGCTCGGCCACCTTTTCAAGCTGCACATCTTCCGGGCATCTGCGCATTGCGTTTTACCATTTTTTCACAAATATGCAATAATACCGCACCAAGGCCAGGATCACAGCGCGTCGATTTACGACGCCCTTGCCGGATTGCGCAAAGAGTAATTGTGTCTCAGTCCGAGCATGCTCGTCCATTTCATCCAATATGTTAGTTCTTGCCCACCTTTTAGGTGGGCAAGCCAACACGGATTAAAACATTTGCGAGCTTAGTCCTGCATGAAAACATCCTTCCGGTGCTTCGCTCTGTAGATTTGACGTTTCACGTTGCTCCAAGCATTCTTAAGCCCCACGGAAGCTTCGATTAAGGGAAATTTGTCCCTGTACTTTTTACAGGTTTCTGCAGCTGAATTCATTTAACCATAGGAATGGGAAAGTTTTACATCGCTTACCGGATGAAGCGTCAAGGCATCTACTACCATATCATACAAGTGCAAAGCGCCCTTCAGGCTCAGCTTGAGACCCCGCAGCATCTGACATACGTCAATCGATACAACGAATGCCTGGAACTTTTGCGGGAATGCTTTCCGGAAGCCGACCTCCAGCCGCTCCATCTTCAGCCTTGCGAGGCTCCGGAAGCGGTTCAAGAGCTCGCCCACCGAATGCTGAGCGCGGCTCTCCAGACGCCCGAGGATTGTGCAAAGTTTAGGGAGATTTGCGCAAAGACCCGGGGGAAGCGGTCCGTG